TGTTCCAACCAAAGCAGCTTCTGGTGCTGGACACATTCTTCAATGGAAGTACCCGTTGCACAACCGAAAACGCACTTTCTAACTACCTCGCCTACACCAACCCACACGAGCTATGGTTCTGAGATAACAATTGTCGAACATCTGAAGACTTCTCAGTTCCGCTGCTCGAATAGGCCAAGTTTCACGTCCATACAACAAAACAGCCCGTACTGTAGCATGATACACACGTCTATTAAGATTCAGGGATCAACCACTCTGATGCCATGGATGTCTCAAATTAGCAAACGCGGCTCGAGGCTTGCACACAACGACGAGTGGAATATTGGTTCGGTAGTGTGGGTTACCGTCGAGACCAGTCTCGAGATTCTGATTGGCGGTTCCACCACCAGAACTCAGATAGACCACACAGAACAGACAGGTACGGATGACTCAAACAAGTGGAGGCCAAAAGTACACTGGTAAAGTAAGCAAATGAACTGAGAAATTACCATCCCATCAATAATCTGAATTCCAGTCAACAGTCAGGATGTCTTACCTGGATTTCCATTAATGGTAACCAAACCACATAGATTTGGAATCTGACCTGACTTAGTGGTGAGCACCCGACCAAATCCCAGAAAGCTGAACCACACGTGGCAACTTCCCGAGCTGTGGTTTCATGCAAAGCGGTCTGGAACTTCCGACCATCTTCAAACGCCCATTGGACAGGACATGACAAGTACGAATTATTAGTCACGTGTGGCTTTCGGACCTGATTGCTACCGACTACCGTATATACACTGTTCATCAAATGAAGTATACATTGAGGTGATTTGAATGCTCGACGGGGAATTCAAAACACAATGGGGTCGTGACAAGAAAGCAAGTCCAGTTTTTATCACACCTTTCCCACTAGATTTGGGGAAAGGTGCACCTGTGGCAGATAGGTGAATGAGAGCTAGTCACACTTCTGTTCAGCCGCTCGTGGCCGAAGCAGTGAAGTATTTAACCACTGACCGAAATGTCGCTGATTCGAGACTCCCTACTGGAGCTTCGTGAGGTGCTGATGAAGCCCCCCAAGCAGTGTTTCATGGATTTTCAGCATAGACTGGCTCTGCCCACGAGACGAAACCTCAGTTGACATTTGTCTCAGAACATCAGTGCGTACTGAGCTCAGATAAATTACCATAAGTTGGCTACCTGTTGGAGGTCAGAGTGAACCGCCAGCCACCAAGTTGTCGATCAATATTACCAGCTAATTGAAACAGTTCTGATTATCGTCTCATTATTCTGCCGACACTTTTAAGCGTATAAAGCATTCAGCTATTAAAATCATTCGTGAAAACTATTCATAAAAAGGGAACTAAGCACATCTGAACCAACCGAGTCAGGCTAGCTTGATGGGGTGACCAGAAAAGTTGAATGAAAAACGCTTCCTCGCTCACTGGAAGGCTGGATTCACCAGCAGGGGTTTGCAGACCACCAAAAGGCATTTGAATAAAGAAGAGAGCTCAAGAGAGTTTGACGAGTAGACTCAAACCTATCTAATATCTGAGTGAAGCATTTGAACACGTAGATCACACGTTCCACTTGCTCTTCTGGTTCTCTATCTCCTATGAAGGTGGAATAAAAGATTTCTTCAGGATGACTATTCCAGGTTCGGGGTGAACAAGGCGCTATCTCAGCGTGCAACATCAACGACGAGGTCCTGGATGAATCGATCATGAGAATGGGCAACACATCTAGCTGCGTGAACTACCCGCGCTAAGCGAATGAACTTCGGATACGGAGAAGTACTCGAACCTAAAGAAGACAGACGGAAACTTTGGGGAGATGCCGGAGAAAACTCCGAGTTGCCAGGGAGCAATGCCACAAGCCTGTAATTTGGAGCACTGCCCAAAGTAACAGAATGTCTAGACCGGGGTCTCCGGATGACCTTAGAACTTGGAGGCACACACCCATGGTCATCCGGTTTCTCTGTATCTTTCAGTCTAGCGTTCTAATAATGGTTTTTTATCTGCGTTTAGGAAAACTTTCATAAATTCACTGCTAGAATACAGAGAATCAGCTGATTTTCCAAGCACCCAGAATGTTGTGGGTCTGAAGGAATGTAAGGAGTAATACCTTGATGATTCCTGAACCTCGAAGAACCCTCAGATGCCTCACAATGAACGTCTGTAGTCAAAAACTATCGACCTAGGACACACTGTTTTCACCTGTCTAAATAAATCACACCACCGGCATAAACTGAAAAAGCATTTCCCATCCGGGCTTGTTTGTTCTCAAAGTATCTCAACGCTTGTGCTTCTTTCGGGTAGCTAGACAGCGAAAGGGCATTACAACCGAACGATTCGAGTTTTTTTAGGAGCGTCCACGTCGAAAAGTCCAGGCAGGTATTTCTTCACCGGCAGGGACAGCAAACGAGTGGGACATCCTACCCGTTGATGATTGGCTAATTCAAACAGGTAATAAACACCAAAATCCCGAAGATCGACCAGACGCTCGATACTACCCAACTATGCACTTCCGACTCCTCGCACTCGATATAAGGTGAACAGACGCGATGTCAATTTTGGGTAAGGACTCACTATCTGATCAAGTCAACTGGAACTAGGATTCTCTGAATCCCGCCTATCATTTTCAGCTTATATTAGTTTATATCGATTTCAGTTTTAACGTAAGTGCCACATCGCTTGGTGCCACGGATGCGTCGTTGTTCTCCAATATCCAGTATCCCTTGCAACACAGTACCGTAGACAGAGATGATTCCAGAAGTATCAGGCAGCAACAGAGCTAGTCATGGACGCTAGGCATCCTGTCCAGTCACAACGTTCAACCTTGAATTTTAAACGGAAAGTCTTATTTGTCGTAGGCGGTTGCGGGATTTTCGGAATTCAACTTCACATCAGCCTGGTGTGAACAGTTCTCCTTCTGTCCTGGCGCAATGATTCCGGTGAGTGCACATAGAAGGGAGAAGCACTTTATTCAAGTTTCATTCTTATTAGAGTGAATTTAATACAAATTGATGGGAAGAAGAGACTACTTGGCTTTCGAAGTCGGGTACGAATAAGCCACTTTTAGGATAAGCCTCTTTCAAGTCTCATGATTCGTTCTCTTACGTCTCACTTCATAATAATTGGCGCTACCATTCACAATTATATGGACATATTTTCATAAAGGAAACTATTCACAAGGTTACTGAAAACTCTTCGACACCCCACGACCGGTTTCGCCCTTCTTGGGGCTCATCAGGTAGGCGCAGTCCCCGAGTTTCCGTCAACCTTATGTTCTACTTGAACCCAAATTGGACTGTTTCCGACAAATACACTCAGTTACAAATCAATATGGTTTTCACGAGAGACTCAACTGAATCTCTCGTTTATGATGTCTTCCAACTGAATGTGTTGCACACAGGCCGCCACTTGTTTCAGTTGGCACGATATTCGAGATATCGCAGTATATTTTCATAAAGAAAACTACTCACAGGGTTGCTGAAAACTCTTCGACGTAAACGAGGGGACTGTGCTTACCTGATTAACCCCAAAAAAGGCGAAACCGGTCGTGGGCTGTCGAAGGGTCTTCAGCAACCTTGTAAGTAGTTTCTTTTACGAAAATATACTGCGATGTCTGGAATATCGTGCCAAATGAATCATGAGGCGGCCTGTCTTCAGTTCAGTTGTAGAATACCATAAACAAGAGATTCAGTTGAGTCTCCCATGAAAAACGAATGGACATATTCTTCCAAAAATTGCATTTATAAAGGAATCTTGTTGCTTAATCTACTTGAACCGAGTTTGTCTGGTGCTCTTTGGCTTTACTTTCCAAACAGATTGAAGACACACCCATCTGCTCTGGGGACTATGTGGAAATTGGCGAGGGGCATAATCCGAATGGGAACATGATGTGGAAGAAATGTGGTCACACTTTGCCAGCAGCGGTTACGTCCAAATCGAACACATTCTACATCTTGTTCCATTCTGGAGGATCTGGCCAGAATTCGGCATTTTCTGTTAACGTTAGATCAAGTAAGTTGTTTCAGGCAGCTTAGATGCTCATTTGATGTTATTCCAGACACTTTTTGGATACAACGTCGTGTCTCTGCGTGTGCTCTTCCTATTTTCATCAGGCCAGAGAGAACAAGCTACTAAAATTAGAATGCGTTGGGATAGCCAATCAACACAAAGGAACACAGATCACAACGCAACAAATATCACAAAAGGACCAATACATTCACTAAATTACTTACACTTCAAGTAGTCAATCACATCAGAAGACAACAGATAGTCTTCGAATGTTATATAAACGCACGTAGCCAAGGACGAAGTAGCCACCCAACTGCGCACTGATGATGTCTCCTCGTAGGGTGACGAAACGCTTGTAAGCCAGTTGCCAAGCTCGGCGAACAGATCAACAGCCACCTGATCAACAACCAATATTTTCCGTGATGCAACCTTTGGATCGGCACTAGGACAAGAGGGAAGTGATCCTGTTGAACTTTGTAGTCGTCATCTTGATGGAAGGCACTTTAGGACCGCGGTGCGTTGAGTCATCAAAGTCAAAAGTACTTCGGTAGTTCACCTAGTAGGGCAATGTCTGGCGAGTGGTGATTTGGAATCGACCGGTAAACATGTACTTTTACGTGTTCAGGACAGGAAAATCAAAAAGAGTATACAGCCAGGAAATTCAAAAGTGAGGTCCTTTTTTGATGGCACTAGCCTGAATAACAGTACGGGGAAGGAAGAACTATGAATCTTGTGGAACAATTTAGAGCACTCGTCCGTCTACTCGACTCTCGCAACACACTCGTGCTAACTTCTAACTAAAAATCGAAATTCTGAGTTGGGATACCCAAGCGCGTCTCACCTTGCTTCGCCAGAAAACCAATGTTGTTTTTTCCGGATAAGCCAGATTCTGCGAAAATTGCTCGAATCGATCTGATCAATAACTACACCCTAGCTATAGATTTTTTCTGCCCATCCAGGCACCAATCCCAGTTGGATGACCTTGAGGCAATCGATCACGCGACCGTCCCACGCGTGATGGACACGCGGATTGCCACATATCTGCATCAAATACGTCTACTTTGGACTTGGCTGTTACTATTTCGGGACAAACCTGTAAAGTGTTTTCTACATTAATGATGCGTTTTCTATAGATAACGTCAAAGTGTTTGGCCAACTAGTGAAACAGTATTCCGAAAGGACGATGCCAATAAGTTTGGAAAACAAAACTTTGTTTTCCAGGATGTGTCTGCAAGGCCAGTCGTTCTATTTCGACGCTGAGTAAACGACCTGACAGAAAGCTACAGAACAATGTAATGCTTTCAGTGAAGCTAATTTAGTCTGGAAACTATTCGTCCTTGCCAAATGAATGTTCTGTTTTAGTCTAACTTTTGGTTAACACATGTGATTCGTCTTCACATTTCGCGAATCAGCCACCTACGAACGTGCCAAGCAGATGGAGTATCATCTCGGTAAACTTGGAGTCGTTATTCGCTCCCAAGAGGATGAGCACTTGTAAAGATGAGCCTGTCACAGGTGCTCAGTGTTAATGGACTGTTTGTTGTTTGTCAGGTATGAATCAGTCGCATGATCAGCTCCACTTTGTACTGGATTTCATCCACTTGTGAGTTGTGTCCCTGTAGAAAGCTGTGAGTTGGTATTGATGTGAAAGATTAGACAGTTAGGGGGACACGCTAATGTAGACAACGTGCTCACCAGTAACCGTGTTTTCTGATCTCAAACAGACCATCTTACCCAGATTTGACCTCACATGCAAAGCACACGCACACAGCATGTTAGTGTAACGGTCGCATTTTTGGGTGATTCGAAACATGTATTCGTATCGACAGGGCAAACTATATTCCAAAGATTTTTTTCTGTGTATTACGTTTCGAACCTGTTATGAAAAACACGTACCTAGGCAGTCTCTTGTGAATTTCCTTGATCTCGTATCATTCTGACATGAAGAAGGGATGAGTTCAATCGACCTCCAGTTACCGGGTAGATGGAATCAGCTTCCAGCATCTACACATGGGACGGTTTGTCACCCAAAACAAAGCACCAAGTGTCCAAAAAGAGTCATCAGAGAGATGGCCTTTTTATTCTGCAGAAACCTCTCAACTAGGGCACTTGTCCTGTTCGGGGGGGGGGGGGAGGGGGGGTTTTTGGGGCCCCTCTG